TTTATACATATAAGTGCAATATGATTAGTGAAATACAATAAAATAAATTAGACATAAAAATAAAAAAATAAATTAAAAATATATTTACTTGCTAAAACAGGCTACTAACTTTATTAATAAATTTATTAAATTTATTAAATTTATTAATAGTTCGTTTTTTTTACGGGTGAGTATACTTATAAAGAAAAGAGGACCGCCGATAAAATTGGCGGGGGTGGTGGAGGACTTCTATAGGTTGATTAGTTTTTATTCATTTAAATTTTCTTTACAACTTTAAATTAAATGTAGTTTGCTTACAATTTAAAAAATTCCAACTTTATTCAACGGCTTGGAAATTGCAAATATATTTGACAAAAACAGCAACCTTTTTAATATTAAATGCGCAACTAAGTTCTCGCTGTTATTTTGATGAAAATGCATCAAAATAACAGCGAGAACTTAGTTGCGCACCTAATACTATCAAAGATGATATTAAAATTTGTATTTTAATGCGAAATGATTAGCGAAATAAAATAAAATAATTAGATATAAAAATATAAATGTAGAAAAACGGATGTATAAATATCCGCAAAAAAGGGTCACTATAATTTATAGTAGTCCGTTTTTTTTTTGTGATTGTGAGTATATTTATAAAGAAAAGAGGACTACCGATGAAATTGTTCGGCGGAAATGGTGGTGGGCATCTAGAATCTAATAGCGTTTTTCATTGGTAGAACTGGTGTGTACTCGATGCACATTAAAGCCGTTGTAAATATATTTACAGAAACAAATTAAATCGCAAAATTCTTAATACATTTTATTACATATTGTTTGAAAAAATATATATTTATCAACTGAGATATCTCATTTTTACATTATTAGAAGCCCTAGTATACAACGGCTTTAATGTGCACTAATTGTAAGTGCATATCAGTTCTGCCAATGAAAAATGCTAGTCACGATAAAGTAATGCATTGATTGGTCCGCCATGTTTCAGGAATTTCCCGTCTTATATTTGAATACTTATATTTGTATTACTTTCAAATTTCAACAATATAATTAAAATTAGCTATTTTAAAAGTATTAACAAATAAATTTCTTACGTTACGTATCGGCTCTGAATCGAAAAAGTTGTTTTTTTGCACATAACAATGTAAAGAAGAGTTCTTATTGGATATCGCTCCTCACTCATCTCTTATCGCGTCCAGTGCGCAATAGGCATTAAGGCCGGTATTCATAAGTTCTTATTTTAAGACCATTTTAAGTAATGTCATAAGATGCTAATATGACTTTCTGATTGATTCATGATATCTTGATACTATATTTAAGACGGTCTTAAATATAAGATCTGATTATGAATACAGGCGGAGAGAAATCTGAATCTCTATTTGATAGATTTTAGTTATTTCAGCGATTTATCTCCATCGGGTGCATCGCAAAAAATGGATATTATTATATAATTTACATCCACTTTTTCAGAGGGCAGTAGTACGCAGGAGCATTTTGCGGTTACAGGAAGTCTGTTTTCTGTGGCTAAATCAATGTACACTTTTGAAGCTTAAAGTGAAAAAGGTATGTTTGATATTTGTCGAAAGCGAGAAAGAGAGTTCTAGTGCAGTCTAATGCAGGAACAGAAAACCAAGGGAAAGTCCTTAGGACATTCTTATGTCTTTTTTCAGATTTCAAGTTTCTCTCTGATAAAAGTAAGATATTCACAGACTTATATAAGTGGATATTTTGTATCTTATCATACTTAAAAAATAAATTTCCTTTATGTAATTGTGTCACACAATATTTATAATATTTACTCTCGGGAGATGGCAATGTATCTGAGAAATACTTATAAAATATATTTATAAACATCTTTAAGCAATGACACCATTTATTGAATAATAAATATCTGTTATATTAAAATTCTAATAGTACGTGTACATCGTATATGATCGGAAAGACAGTTGGGATCATATTACAATATCACACATAAAAATATAAATTGTGATAAATTGTATACAGTTATTTCAATAAAATATAACTTTTTTATGCATTCATATATTTTTTTGCAAAAGATGATCCTGCAATACCAATTTAAAATATTTGTATCTCTCAAATACACACTGAGAGAAGTTTGGTATTTGTAACTAATTACATATCACTATAATTATGATTATATATTACTGCTATAATAATAATAACAGTATGTATATAATTCTAACAACAAATGTATTGTATATAGTTGGCAACTTAAACTGATTATAATTATAGTTATTATAATCATGAAATAGTTGGAATTATATAATAGTATAAAAATGATGTGAGTGACTATAATTTTATAATTATTTTAAGGGACAATTATATTTTTTATGGTTATTCCAAAATGGCTAAAATTACATAATTACTGTTATTGTTATTATAACAGTAATAATCATAATTATAGTAACATGTAATTATAGTTACAATACTAAACATTTTTCTCTCAGTGCACCGTGACCTTCGGCGTTAAATTAAGGACCGCGATTTCCCGAGAGTTAAAAAAATATTATTTATATGATATGTATATAAGACAAGATATATTTAAAAAAAGAATATTTTATCTATACTTTATTTCCTCATAACATAGCTATTAATATATTCGCAATCGATTAAGAATAATCGAAATACATATTACATTATTTAGGACGGATCGATACAGTTAGACATTTTAATATCTGTAGTGCGCAATGAAAATTTTCTTAATTAATTATTACGTTTATATATTTATCATTGATCTGATGTTGTGTCATCAATCAATATCACTGTGACAATATTCTGCATTCAAGGATCTTATACGCGATAATAAACTCGGACGTGCATTTTCGGACGTGTGTAATGTTTATGTATAGTTTCCAGCGTATGAATCCGAGTCAAATGGCGGTTGTTTGTGGTGCTGGCGATGGTGTCAATGGTGTCCAAGCATTCGACTGTTCACCGGTGATCTCTGTGTCCTGTCGATGATGATTGTGATGATGATGTGGATGATGATGATGATGATGATGAGAAGAATGAGGATGACGGTCGACGACCGTGGTCAAGTATCGTCTCTCATCATCCGGTTGCACTTCGTTCAAAGCATCTGCGGTTTGTTCGGGATAGCCTATTTGGATGTGAGGATGCTCCTTAGGTGGACTGTCATATTCTACACTGACCGGCGAAGATGTTTCTGTTTGCGGAAGTGTCTGCAGATGTAACATCTGCGCTTGAGAGTGATGCTGCTGCTGATGACGATGCTGATCGGGAGTAGTCGATTGCACCGGCGAGGTATGATGATACTCGTGGACGTATTCGTTCGCGTCTGCTGGAGGAACGGGTTCTCCACTTTGTGGATGCAAGCCTGTATGGTGTAACCCTGCGTGCGAAACGGAACTATATGGAGACATTTGGTGATGCAAGTGAAGATTCAAATTTAAATAGGGCTGCTGCTGCTGTTGCTGCTGCTGTTGTTGTTGTTGTTGCTGCTGTTGTTCCAGCGCGCTGGAATGTATCCAGGTCGAGTCAGTGCTATGCTGCTCTTGAGATGGTAAGTTTGACGGCACATATAAAGTGCAACCAGTGACGGTGGTCGTGGAGACGGTACCGACCACGGCTCTGCCGAGAACCGTGTGTGATGACGTTGGAGACGGCGACGGTGACGTTGGCCATTCCTGTGACGCGACGGGCGGTAAGCACGTAGAGTTGAGATTCTGCAGCGATTCTGGACTCCGTGGTGACCAGGCCGGAGCCGCTACGTAAGCCGTGGAATGTAAAAGCGGCATCGGTGCGTATGCGTCTCCGTGCTGTTCTATGTATAGAAAAAAAAAAAAGATTATGCTTTTTTTGCAAACATTTTTTTTATTTTCAAAAAAGAAATAAAATATCGTTCCTTTATTTAAAAAATGAAACAATTAAAAAAATATGATTTTCAAATTATTGTCATCATGAATGAATTAGGTAAAAATTATTCTGTCAATCATCAAAAGTAAACTAACTTAACTTGTTTTCAAAGTTTTCAAAGAGATTATATTTTTTATAAGAGCGACATATTTTGGGATGTATCATTTTTTGTAAATAAACAGGAAAATCTTCTATGGAGAACATTTAAGTTAAGGCAGTTTTGATGTGATCGAAGTTTGAAGAAATTGTTTTATTTTAAATTTAGTCATTTAGCTGATTTAAATATAAACTATTATGGTGATATTTCATGTTATATCATTTTCGATAAATTATTCTGCATTTGTAATAATATTTTTAGGATATCAAAATCGTCCTAAAGATTATTTTTAGGACGAGATAAAAAGATATTTTTTAAGGATTGTAAAACAAAATGATATTTAATCGTATTTCTAAGAATCCTTTTTGATTAGTTAATAATTTTCTACTAAATTGAAAACTAGTTTTTCCTTTTCCTGAAAAAATTAATTTTTTTTATCAGAACAGGATCACTTATATGAATATCATCAACTAAATAAGAGAAGCCTATTATAATCAAAAGCTATTCCCTCAAATTAAATTAGATCATCAATTTAAGGAGATTATTAATTTGAGATCCCTCGTCGGAAAATCTGGATTCGAATCCCGATTGAATATTTTTTGTAATAAATTTTTTAAAGGTTTTAAGATGCTAGTAGCATCAAATCGACAATCTAATTTAATTTGGATAAATTACTATTATTTCACTTTGATTACGTTGCAAATTGAAAAAATAATTGACGTGCAGTCACATAAGAGATAAATTTATTTAAAAAATATATAGATGTATTATTTCAACTTATATATTATTTTAACTTTGATCATAATTGGACCTTCTTCTACTTAATTGATTAATTTTTTTAATTGTATCACTTTTGAAGTAAGGGAACGATATACATATATTTTTTTACAACCTACGTTTTTTATAAAGATTTATAATTAAAATTCCAGTAAAACAATAAAAAGATTCTACTTACCATCTTGAACGTACTTGTGCCTCAAAGTATAAGGCGCTGCTCTGCAGGCGCTTCTGTGCCCAGATGTAGTGACGGTGCATGAATTAGAGAAGTGATTGCTAACACAACCTGATACTTGATTTTGCGCGGCAGCTATCGCCGATGCGGTGTTATATTCATATCCCATTGTAGGTTGAGGTAAAAACAATGCGCTTGCATCTGCAAAATGTTATCGTATTATTAATTATTATTTTACAGAATCCCGGTTTCAATTATCGTTTCATTCCCAGCATTCTTCTTTTTTTATTTATAATATTTGCATTATTGCCATTAGTTATCGTGTCAACTAACATTGCGGATAAGTCTGTGAATCAGCAGGTCTCTCCTTAGCATCAAGAAATGCCTTCGCGAATGGATTATATTTGATCTTCAGACTCGTAACTTCCTCGTTCTGATACGCTGTCACCGCGATGAATTGCGTTTCGGGAAAACGATATGTGAGAACCTATAGTAACAATAGAATAATTATGATGGTAAAATAAAATAATTAAAAATTATCGAAATTAAAAATTATGATACAAATGATAATAAAAAAATACAAAGAAACGAGAGAAAGAAAGGAGAAAATGTACCGTTCTCTGTTCTTCGGCACCCACTCGGACCAAATGAACACGTGGCTCGTACTTATGTAACGAGTTCAGCATAATCTGCCCATTACCATTCGATTTATTTGTTAATTTGACCTTAGCAAACGATACTGCCTCTTTCATCCAATGAGCTCCGAAATTTGGGCTTTCCGGGTGGATGTAAATCGGATTAGGCGGGGCAACTTCCGCTTTCCCACCTGGTACCCACTCACCATTGACATATTTCCACCTTGATTCGATTAAAGAACAAACTTTATATCTCACAGATGATTTATGTAAATCATTCAAATTATAAAAAAGATACAATGTATATGCATTAGATGTTCTTTCTCATAAGAGACTTGAGAAGAATTGTACTATCTGTATTCCTATTGAAAAAGAAAGAGAACAATCTTATAAAACTGATTCGATAAGGAGAATTTATCTTAAGTATTCGTAGGATTAGTACTGTGCTACTCTTTTCTATTTTTTTCAATCATCTTCCGAGATTGTTTTGCGAAAGCTATTATGAGGCTCGCGAATGCCTCATGGTTCGTTCAACACCGATGACGAATCGTCGACGAGTTAAAAATAACGTACTAACAAGTTTAGAATCGACTTTAGCGACGTTACGTGATGCTTGAACGAAAGGGGTACGGTAATTACGACCTGTTAGTGTCCTTCACGCCCCCCGTTCCTTTTGCTCGCGAAATAAATCAATGCAAATCGGTAACGCGCTTATCCGTTTGCTGCCTACACAATATTTCGATGCTACGCGCTTTCTATTCTCCTCAGCATAACTTTGCAATTTGTACAATTTTCACTTGTTCTTAATTAAAAGATAGTTTAATTCCTCAACCGATAAATGCCGGATCAGTCAAGATTTAAATTTTAGAATTGATGACGAACGTATGAATAATATTTAAATAAATATTTGCATATATTTCTCATGCAATAGTTGAAGCAAATTGTTTATGTGTATACTAAAATCAAAATAAATATCATATGTTGTAAATAGAGATTTTCTTCTATTTCAGTTATTTTATTATTTTAACGCTATTTTTCTTTTTTTTTTGGAAAACAAAAATATTTAAAAATATGGTGAAATAAAAATAAATGTGTGAAATTCTGCCCTGGGACAAAAAGATAGAGTATAGGTGAAAAATTGACTCAGTGAAAGTACGCACATTGTGCGTACGACCATTTTGCTACCCATTGTGCCACCCTCTATCCTCCGTAGCTTTGTGTTGTCTGAAAGTTAAACTATCCGTTTAACTTGAACTCTCAAACTATAAATCAGATTGAACTTTTTATGATTACTTTTAAAAATTTTGATATATTTCCCTAAAAAATCTCGATGTTTGATACTTGAGAAAAAAAAATTAAATTATTTTTAACTATTGATAAAGCGTGGAAGATAATCATTGCTTTTTTAGTTCCTGTTCACTCACCACTACTATCTTAACAGTTTCAAATTATGACAAAAGCGAGAAAATAATAAAAACTCTTATAAAATATAATAATATATTGTATAAATATACAGGGTGCCCCCCAACTTAAAAAAACGCCCATGAACTACTTGATACTACTTCTGATCAAAAACTGACATGAGTCTAAAACTAGTAAATCATTTTGCAATAGTTAACAAGACATTAATTTCTAAATGTTGCCAAATAAGCGGATAAAATCGACGCATAAGACAACTTTAAGATATTTTTCAGCGTTCTTTATGAAATATCTCAAAGACGAACTCTTAACAATTTCTTAAAATTATCTTATCAATTTTAGACATTATATTTACTGGAAAAAAATATAATTAAAAAAAATTGCGAAAATTGCAAAATGGTTCATAAGTTTTAGACTGAATTTTTTATTAAGTATAGCACTATATCTCGTAGGCGCTTTTTAAATTACACTTTGTATAAATTTTGAAATTACATCTTGTAATTTCAATAAAACACCTTATTCGATAAAATCGACTTGCAACGTGTATCGAAAAATCTCTTGTTTCACTATAATTAAAAAATAATCATATATCTGGAAATGAAATTATGCATAAAATAAAAAATAAAATAAGTTATGTTATAATAAACTGTCTAATGATATACATGTGTATAAAAATAAATATGATTTAATTTCTCTCCGAAACTAAGAAAATAGTTTTCGGTATATTTTATAAATCTGTATGGATTGCAAATATTGTTTTATTGAAAAATATTCCTATGCAAATAATTTTTGCAAAAATTTTTACTGTATGTTTTTCTGCTTCTGATGTTACGATTTAAGATAGTGGAAAGTGAACAGTGATAATAGTATAGTGGCAAGAAGCTTCAAGATGAGAGCAGACTCTTCCAAAAAGCGTAAGATAATGCATAAGAAAATGAGCCAATCAAAATCCTTCATTTTCTTTCTTCCTATGGAATAAAAGACTGTGATTGATTGATTTACTTATGTCTTATGCATTATGTGTTGTGCAAAAATCTTCTGCTCTTAAGACGCTTTCTATAATAAGTCATTAATAAGAAATTAATCAATCACAAAGGAATGTGAGAAGAATAATCGACTGTGATTGACAATTTTCTACGCCTTAAGACTTAAACTTGAGTAATAGCTTGTTGTAAGAAAACTTATAAAGAGCAGGAGCATATAGAGTCTTGCATAAGATGTAAGAAAATCAACCAAAGTTTTTTACAATATTTCATGGAAAGAAAGGAAATGAAAGATTTTGGTTGGTTCATTTTCTTATGCATTATGCGTTATGCAAGATTCTGTGTTCCCGCCTTTAAGAATACACTTGAAATAATTAATTATATTGTATTTAAAATTGAACATTACCTGTGCGGATCAACTTGCACGAATTCCAGTAGCAAAGTATACATAGCTGCCGGTTCCAAACCACGTGCAACGACCTTCACCACGGGAAACATTCTCCTGCGGACGAAAGTGACATGTCAGAAATGCGCATAACAGGTTACCAATCGTAAAGCCATGAGATTTGCGGGATACGCGCGAAAGATCGACATCGACGGTAAAGTCTACGGTGTGGATCAAAAGATAACCGCCGCGGACTTGGATACACTTGTGTCTCCTCGGCGCGACTATACATTTACGAGCCGTGTATTAATAAAAACGATTATGGTTTGTCGATTGCGGGTGTGCAGGCAAAGTGCTTGCTCGCAGGCATCAGCTCGACAAGAGAACGTTTTACAAGAGGACTGTAAGCATCGTAAAGTTTTATTGCCGATGGCTGAATCTTCCCACAATAATCCCGGGGAACTCCGTCTTTCTATAGATCGACCTTTATCATTCACTTTGGTATCCTAACTATACATTGGCTCGATATTGTCTATTTCTTTGCAATAAATAATATGTATCTAGATATGATATGCTTTTCCCGAAAAAGTTTTCCACCGTCAGACAAATACTGACCGGACATTCTCATCGACCATCTGAATATTGTGTCGTTATGTTTTCACTCAAAAGAGGAGCGTAGTTTTAAAAGAAAAACTAAAAAAGTGAAAACAAGTTGAGATTTATTTTTTTATTTTTTATATGTTGTGACTTTGATATTCATATGCCGTGCAACTTTGTCAGTAATACGTATCTCAAACATATCGTGATTTCTTATTAAAAAGTATGAGAGTTTTCATTGCCCGAGAAGCTGCTGTTATATTATAATGTGAAATGTATATTATTTGTATTTTATTTGTCTCAAATAAAAAGTATGTGTACCTTGATTGAAACTGCTAAGCAGTTCCTTCGCTTTAGCTTCGCTTTTTCACGGCTTAATATTTTCTTGCTATAAGAATGAGAGAGAGAGAGAGAGAGAGAGAGAGAGACCTTGTTCTTTTAATTTTGAATGATCGATTTCCGGTTTTGCTTGAGATTTTAGCTAATGATATTTTTGTTCGCGGTAAACAAATATTTCTATCGGATATCGGATGTCTATCATGGCTAAAAAATTTACGGTATCTCATTCTTACGAGTTTTGGAGTGCATAAAAATCACTTTCTCGCGGTAATATCAACCCGAACGTTGTACCGATCGTACAATGCATCGGAGAACTATTCCTCTCTTCAAGCTCAAATATTTTTCATCAATCTTCCCATTAATCCTTAAAGGTATGCATGTACCTTCCATTTTTTGTGACGATCATCTCGTTCGTGATGCACTGGAATCTGGTCCAGAGCTCCCGATCTTCCAGCGACAAAGACAGCGGCAATCCTTGATTCCCCGAGATCGCGGCAGGAGGGCCGAGATTTTGTCTCGCGATCGAACCCCGCTCTTCGCGATCCTCTCGATCCTCCACAGGACTCGTCCGATTCTGCCTGCCGCCGCGATCTCGCTCGCGATCTCGCTCCTGCTCGCGTTCCCTTTCGCGCTCGCGATCGCGCTCGTGGCACGAAGAACGCGTTGGAGAACCCGGCGTTCGCGGCGCGCCCGCCGGTTGCATCTTCAATGTTCTCCAATACGTCACTTTGTATACTTTGATCCTTTCACCTTCTCCAATATGTTTTCAAATTAAAAATTCAATCGAGGTTCCGTTGATCGAGAATAACAATATAAACTGTTGTACATACAAGGATAAAAGAAGTACGAAAGCTACATGCGACGCGGTATATTTTCCAGACAGACTCACAGCAGGAGAGAGGGATGTGAAAATTTGGTTTGCTTTTGCTGTTGATCGATTCGCAGATTCGAATTGAAAAAAATCCAAATTTGCGACGTCGTCCCACGAGAAAAACGGATGTGCAGAGGATCTTGCGGAGGATAGCGGAGGGGGATGGAAAAGCGTCGTTCTCGTCGCGGCACCAGACGTCTCCGTCGGCGGTGGAGGATAGGCCGCGTTGTAAGAAGCCGCGCCGCGTGGCCGTAGGCTCGTAACACTTGGGCGCGATATTTCACACTAGCCGGTGAAGACTCGCCGAAGACTGACCGGCGGTATATCTGCCTCTCTGTTCTCGCTTCGCGTCCTCTCTTTCTCCGTTTCTCAGTGGGTACGCGGCCGTCAAGAGAGGCACCGGCTCGAGCCGCGTTCGCGCTTGCCGGGTGCTAATTACTCGCTAAATTAGGAGCTCACGGGTGCAGCATGGCGGTACCATTACGGTATCCATTGGTTGAGGTCGATTTGCCGGTTGCCGCGTCGTCACAACGTCGGGTGCCGCCTTCGATGTCATGCATCTACCAATGGACGAGTGAGTCGTCTTTACAAATCCACCGTGATTGGTGGGTTCGACAACAAACATGTCGTTCGCTAGACCGCCCACGTCGCCGGTCGCCGGGTTCTCGATTAGTCCTTACGGACAACGTACACGGATCCGCACGTGGTGAACCGAATCGTTGCCGTAATCGTTCTTTTGATTAATGTCGGTCGGTCGCGAATTCGTCTTGATCGAAAATATATACGTCGCACGGCCGATGGGAAGGAACCACCTTACCAAGGTCGCAAGGAAGTGTTCTTCATCTTCGTGGAGCGAAATTACGGCAATGCGACATGTCACCTCTACGAGTTAATATTTGCGTCTGTTGCACTCGGGAAAGTATGCAAGATGTATTTGTTCCTCGTGAGAGATGTAAGTGTTGCTCCCGTTGACGAGGCATAACGGGCCTCGGCATAGCCACACTGAAAAAACTTAAGAAATTGTTTCTCTGTCAGTTATTCTAATTTCTGTTTAAATATTCATTTTTAATATAAGACAGCATTAATCTCCACAGCAAAAAATAGAATTAAATTGAATTAATTACTTTTCTTCTTTGTTATGTATAATAATTATTCAACGAGCAATTTGTTTAAAAATGAAAAATGATTATACTTTTTTTGTGTTTGATTGCACTCTATTTCCTTTTATACTATAACTTGTTTATGAAAGGAGAATGTTGAGTTTTGACTGTTCATCAATCAAAATAAAAAAGTTTTGAGACATATACAAATTATATGTTAATTATACATTATATTAAAAGGTTCCTTAAGCGAAATCGAGTGATAAATCATTTATCTTAATTGAGGAAACATTAAGAATAATAGGAGAAATCACATGATAAAATCTAATCACATTTATTGATAAAAATTGTTAAATAAAACATCAAGACATCCCAGGAATTAGTAATTGCGTGTTATTACTTAAATGATTATTTAAGTATTATGTATTTAAATAAAAGAAGTTAGAAGAGATTTTCGAGCAATTAAGAATCCAATATAAAATAATAAATTATTTGATTTCGAATTTTAGATTTGAACAATGAACATGCTTAAATTATACGTGTTTAAATACTAACAATAGTCTTTGTTGCTTAAATTCTAGAATATCTAAATTTTTAGATTTATTATCTTTGATATACGATGTTTCCAATATTTTCTCATGATAAGTGATACACTACTCGATTTTTTTATTCTCTTGTTAACTTATGGTTAGGCTTAACTTGATGCTTTATCCAATAAGCTTCATTTATGATGATATCATTTATGATAAAAAAAACCCTCATTGAGTGAAACATCAGATTAAGCTTAATTATAAGTTAACCAGATAATGAAAAATCGGGCGCACGAACGTTAGCCTTTAATACTTAATTCACGTATATTTCGGAACTTTTTCATTTTAGAAAAACTTAACATTCTCCGGTATATTTTATACAACAAGATCTTGCAAGCATTTCAATAATTTACTTAAAATCTCGTGATTCGCATCTCAGTCTCAGAAAGGAAATTCGTTGACTTGAAATTAAGTTGACTTGCAGTAATTTCGATATTTGTTGATTATGAAAATGGATTTCCTCGCCTATCACAAACAAAACGAGGGGGGAGGAATAGGAATATATTAGTCGTCTGGAGTCAAATGACAAAAATCAACAGAACACATCGTTCGACCGGTCGTACGACGCATCGCGAGCAGATATTTGAGGAGGACCGTTCTCTTGTTTGCCATCGCGGTTTCGGAGTTCGGACAGCAATCGCCGGACGTGAAGGCGGCTGTAACCCTATCGGTTATTTGTGCTAGCAATTTCGTGCGGAGAACATGTACTCGTGATCGTCCTGGTGCCGCGACATTGCCGAAGGCCGAGAGCGGAGCTATCTTTATTGAAGGCGGTCCGAGGTTGTCGAAGGTAATTACAATTTTCAGCCTGACTGCATCTACGATTATTTGCCAAAATACCGTCAGTTCCTGAGCCGCGGTTTCCTTGACATCAATTGCGAGATCTTCTTAAAAGTATATATAAAGTCGAAAACGAAAGTGTCATTTTTATTCTCCAAGTACTATTTACATCCGATAGTCGTAAAAAGACAAGAACTTTTTAGGCCGTCTAACTTTTAACATATAGATGTTTGAGCTACATATAAAAAAAGTACAGCTTCATAACAAGAAAAGAATGCTAGTTCCTTTGGATCTAATGCTGACGATTTTCTAGAAACATGAGTCTTAATTGTAAAAATCATAACTTTTATTAAAACTCTTAAAACTATCTTTCCTACATCTCTTTACAACAAGAAGATGTTTTTTTTTTACCTGCGTTGATCATAATCTTCAATGTAACACACATTGTAGAGTTAGGATATTCATCTTGTCTTAGTTCTTTCGACTGGCATATGACACACACTTGGAAATTAAGAGATTTCGAAGGTGGGTTTATGTCCGTCCTATCCGCTGCACGGTGGCGTATCATAAAAATTTTACCTCGGACGACTTCTACGCAACTTGCACAACACTGCAAAGGTGTTTACGATAGGGGCATTCTTGATTATTGCTACCTGCCGCTAGGTAGTCTTTAGACACGAGTCGGGAGGTCTTCGGCATTCATTTATACTGTTTGAAGGGTACCGCTATAGTTACGACCGCTTTGAAAAACCGCTTTTTTGACGTTCGTCTATTTACAAACTGTACCATTCGCCGAACATTTTTAGCGGAAGTTGTGCGTTCCAAACGTCAAAAGCGGCGACGTTTACCGGGCAAAGATGTCATCATCTTCCAAAAAGATCTTTCAACTTATTATAATATTTTAGCAATTAAATCGTTGGCTAAGAATAAATTTGCGATAGGATGAGATATGCAAAGTTTTAAACATTCAGAGTCATTTATTACGCGATTTATTGTTGATTTCTACAGGAAAAAATGATTTTAATATCTAAAAAATTTGATTGAAGTATCTAAAAATTTAACTAGGTATATATAGATCAGAAAATAATTTTATTGAACTAGATTGAAAGTTATGTAGGATGTTTAAACTAAATATAATTGCTAAAATATATAAGTATCTTGCAACATTGCTTATCATGCTTGAGATTCTTACATAATTATTTTGATAATCCAACAAAATCATTTTCAGATCCTTTACAGATTTACAGTTAAATTTTTAGATGTCTCAGTTAAAATCATTCTTTTCATAAATTCGTATAATGAAGAAAAAGAACAAAATCTAAGAACTAAGATAAGAAATATACCGCAAATGCCAATTTCTAAAAATTATATGTTTAAGTCATTGCAATAATTCGTCGTTTAACAAATAAAATTTGAATATTTAAACGAATTACTGCTTAATTATTAATAATAGTATCAACTACTAATTTTCTTTAATTTTTTTTCTCGTTAGATTTATACGTGTCAAAGTCAAGTGAATTTTTATCCTGATTCATCTTCAGATTGACAGTTTCGCGTTCTCGTTGGGGAATATCGGGATCTCTCAATTCATCTACACTGATGATGGCATAGTTTCGTCGTGCACGATCACTAATGATTCTTTCGTATCCCATATGATTACCAAGCAACGTCGGGAACTCCGTCGGATGCGGAATCGTTGCTTTTTGCCGAATCCACTTTGTCTGATTGGAATAATCCACTAAAGCCGCGTAAGTCTGCATAATTTCATGGAAAATGAAATTAAAAATCCTTAGTGTAGTTAGTATCAATATTCAAGTTCTAGAATTAAAAATATGACTAATTGTAATTTCGTGAGACTTAATGTTGAAATTCAGTAGATATTATTATTATTTGGAAATAATATTAAAATTTAATGTCATTCTTACCACAAGGCTATCAGGAATTCTGGCTATTGCGTGTCCGGTCTGGGTGAACCAACAATATTCATTGGGCAAAATATGCGATATCAGTCGTCCATCTTCTGTGAATCCATGAATAGTATTGGCTCCTAGAATACCGTGGGATTTCGATGGAAAGGGAAACAGCAAGGGAGTCGTCAAGTAGGCTTCCGGGATCAGCTGGGAAAAAAATAAGACGTACTATTTTGTTTTTTTTTTCTTTACTGTCGCATAGACATCCGTTTCTTTTATTCTTGTCACACTGCTCGCGATCGTCCCAATCGAATGAGAGTAAAGTTATACATTTCAATGTGTGTGTTGATTTTTATGTCCATCTTATATCACAGGACAATTATACCGCAAATGCCAATTTATCTATATATTCAATATATTTTTCATTTTAAAAGGACATTGTATCTTTAATATTCTCGGCATCAAAAACTTTTGACATTTGTGGTACTTATGCATAAAACATTGTAGGTCTGTTGTATAGGTCGGTTTGTTCTATCATCTTTAGCTACCGTTGCTTATGATATTGTATCACACAGCGTACATTTACGTTCATCTGATTAATTAAAAACACAGTATTCCTCATTTAAAGTTATCTGTATCTTCCAACATGCACAGTACATCAACGCCAAGGAGATTTTTTTTTATGATGTCACATACTATTGATATCTAATTCAGAATTACTCCGATTTCATCCTACGAAGATAAAGTCATTTTTTTGATTATGATATTTACGCACACTCCAATTTGACAGCTGTTTAAATATGTTTTGTAAGGCGTGAGATTATGCTCATTCCGTTGCAAGAAGTGGAATATATTTTTTCAATTTTATATATATATATATATATATGTATGTACTAATATACTTTCATTCACATAGTCATACTATTCTGTCGAATATATTCCACATTTTCGGAGCGGAAGTGTGACGTTTTGCTTTCACTCGCGAGCGATCGCGCGAACAGAATGAGGGAAATTGTTTTAACGCGACCATACGTAGGACGTAAGCGCGACGGTGAACGCGACATAAAAGTTTTTCGTTTAATTTTTGGTCCCATCGTAGGTACAGGGTATCCGGCACGAATTTATCCCGAATTAACTGGTCAATATAAGACTATGACGCAAGTTATAGATATTAGCGCGTATTAAGAATCTACCTACAATGAAATATACTTCATTGTAGATTAGAATGGAAAACAGATTTTTGCGCAAAATTAATATATTTAAAAATTAATATGAGCATTTAGAGGTAAATACAATCAGCATTTGAATGCAATAAAGCATATAGGTATAGAAGAGTATTAATTTAATTGGTCCATTAATTATTAGTTAATCAACTAAAATTAATTAGCAGAGAAAGAAAAAATATGTATAATTATCTTAAATAATTTTAGATGAACCAAAATAAGAGAAAAATTTGAAAAGAAATGTTCAAACGCAGATTCTTAGTACGAACCATCGTGCATGCCCCTTCGCAATTATTTTCCAGAAACGGAAGA